GAATTGTTAGGGAAGCTTTTCTCACCATGACAGCATTTGGGTAGATCCTCCAAAGTCTGTGAGGGTCATGCTGCTGTTGCCTCTTTCCCTTCACTGGAGTTGCTGAAAAGTTGTCTTTCCTCTGCTTGCTTCTGTTCACGAAATTCCTAAGATCTTAGTATCTCAGACCTTTAAACATCTGTAATATTTAGCTGAAATTGGAAAATGTGCTCAAAAGGGACACTGACATTGTGTATTTCTGTTCTCTTGAATAGCCAAGCTAAAATTTTATTGCTGGTGGGAGGGAATTATTTCCCTCTCTTCAACTTTTCTAACAAAAAAATCCCCAAATATCCCACAGACTTCTTGCTCTTGAAAGAAATTCATTTTAACTTAAAAAAAAAACAAAACAAAACAAAAAACAAAACGACCACAACCACTCCCCTGGAAACCCCAAGCTGTGAATGAAGTGTTTCATCCCCTGCTGTAAAGGGTGGGGCTGATTCCAGGCAAATCCTGAAGCCAGCAGTTGCAAAGGTAGCTCAGAGCAAAGCTGGCATCTCCCCTTCCCTGTCTTCCTTAGCTCCAAGCCGTTCAGATGTCCCCAGACCCATAGATCAGGACTGGAGCCACAGAGATGTCTGGAAACTGTGTCTCTCCCCTTCATCCTTGTTCAGGACTGGGGCCGGCACACAGGCATCCTGACACTGAGTTTGGGCGGTGGTGGGGAGACCATTATAAATCCCCAGTAGCCTCCTCCTGAGGATATAAATGTTTGCCTCCACTAAAACATAATCTTGTGGTTGTTTCAATGACAGCTTAAATCGAAGCCGTAGGGAGAGGGTGCATGGAGGGGTAATGGGAGAATAGTCCACAGCTGTTTCTCTGGCTGTTTTTCTCTCCCAGACGCGAAAGCAGCAGTGGCGGAGCGATGCCCTGCATTCTTGCCCACCTACACACATGCTTCCTCCGCATATCCCCGTGCTGCCTGCTTACCACAAGCACTAGAGGCTCGGCTGTAAATCCGCTAGCCAGACAGATCCCTGACACCCCGGCTTCCGCCCTGCTTCTGCAGGACACATGCCTGCTGCTGTTAGATCAGCATCACCCTCGCTACCAGCAAGGAAACCTCCTAGGAAGGGTTGTGAACACTGAGGATATCACAAGCCCCTTTTCCTCTTGAGATGACTACCTTTGAGGTCTGCTACTGCGAGAAGCTCCCCCTTGCCTGTACTCCCAGGCTGCTGTGATGAAGTTTGCTAGCTCTCGTGTACCGTACCCGCTCAGACCCCCTCTGAAATCCTCAGCTCTTGGGTGTCTCCGGCTCAATCTCCTAGTAGCTTTTCTTTAAGGCAGTGCAAATGAGGTTGGCCAAATACCATTGAGCCTTGAGAGCCTCCCAGCTATGCATGGGGTACTGGCAATTCACACATGCACACACCCTGTGGCTTGTGTTTCCACTGCAGACTGTGCTATGCAAAGGAGCGCCTTGCAGCTGAGAGGATTTTGACGCAGTCTAACTGCAATGGTAGATATCTCTACCTAAATTCATGGTGAATCAACCCACAGCTAAATGTTGGCCGTGAGCAGGGGGGAGCAAGGAAGCTGGGGCTGGGTGAGAGAAATCAGGAGACTTGCTGGCTTTTGCAGGTGGTTTTTGTGCACTATCATCAGTGGGTTTCCACGGCTTTGTTTTCCAGCTGGGAAAAGCAAAAGATAGACCTTCTGAGCTACTTCAGAACATGTCCAGATCTCTGTGGGAGGCTGAAAATGTCCAGCACTCTGGGAAAAGCAGCCAGGTGCTGTACACGCTGCCAAAACCAGCCAAACCGTGAGTGATTTGCACTTGCCCAGCCCCAGGCACGAGGGCTGGTAAGGACCTTGGGCAGTTGGTGGCCCCTTTTGAAGTTTTTATGGAAATGTCCTTGCTAGACACCCCCTCCCATTGGTGCCTTGTGAGTAAGAAGAGAGCCCTGCTCCAAGCAACTACTTCTCATTATAATTATGTGGTGCTTCTTTTTTAATTTAATTATGGTTTTTCAGGAGAAGTTATTCTTTTGGTGTGAATTCCAAGCTGGAGAATAGCTACCTCTTCTTGACTGCAGTGCTGTTTAGATGTGTTCAGCACTAAAAGCAGCTATCACAGGATTGGTAGTTTGGGCTGTAACAGACTTATATTTAATGTGTCCGTGGTACCAAGGGGTACTCTGCTGTGCAGAGTTAAGGTAGTGTAAAACCAGAGATTGGGTTCACCCTTGGAGGCAGAGGCCAGCCCAGCAGCATCAATTCCAGGAGCTGCCTATTGCACTTCACAAAGCTCTTGGGATACGTGGTCTGGCCACACAGCATTATCTGGGCATATGCCAGGTGAGGAGACTGGCCAAAACCAGGAGAGTGAGTGTGAGTCCCCGGGTGGGAATTGTCCAGCCTTCCCCTGCTCCCAATGCATTGGCCCTGGCACCCAGGCCATGCTGGGAAAGACTTTTCTCCAGCTCCCATGGAGAACTAGGTAGAGCAGGATTCACAAGAACCGCTGTTTTCACACAGCATTTCTTTTGCATGAGGTTTATGCCTTTTAGGCTGAAATCTATCAGGAAAGACAAACTCTTCCAGGCTGTTGGGAGAGAACACAATGCATGGCTGCTCTTTCATGAAGCCAGGCCTGCAGAGGTAACAACCAGTCCCACCACAGGCATGGTAGAGGAAATCCAACAAGCTTCTGGTGTGTCTCTAGGAGCAAGCATGAGGTCTCAGCGGTGTACCCACAGCCCAGCAGCCTGGTGCGTGTGTACCCCTCCCCAGCCAGGCTGGTTATCCATACTCACACCCATGGGTGCAGATTGAAACTGAGTCCTGGAGCAAGAGAGCATGAACCCAAGCTCTTGCTCAAACAGCTTGTGCAGGGAGAGGACTTGCCCTCTGTGTCTTTGGTAAAGGGTGGATGCTCAAAGCCTGGACCAGAGCCAGGCTAGCAGTGTGGACCACAATTTTGTGCTGGCCCCTGGCCCTCCTTGCCCATTCCCTGGAGGTATTTGCCGCCTCGGGAGAGGCGGCTGCACAGGGGTAAGCACAGCCCTGATCTCAGCTGCAGAAGGGGATGCATCGTGTGTACACAAGCCCTGGTGTGATTTCCCCTCTCCCCTCCCCAGCAGAGCCTGGTTGGGACGTTTCACAATTCTTCGCCAATGATGCAGGCTACAAGGCTTGATGTTTACTCCAGGGCTAAGCCTAAGGAAAGAAAGGTGTTTTGCATTACTGCTCCTCCACAGGCCAGGCAGGGGAAGCAGTGTCCAGCAGGGAGGGAGCCCTTAACTTCAGTTAATAAACACATCCTTCACTTCCAGCCTCTCTTCCTTGGCAAATGCCACTTATCGTAGCTAAAGCTGCTCGGACTTGGCCAGGGATCAGCCCTGCGAGTTCACAGGATTCACAATTCACAGATGTTAGGAACTATCAGGCTGAGTGTGGGTGGAGAATGTCAAGTCTGAAATAGCTCCCTTGCCACCCTGGCACAGGCAGCAAAGAAAATGTTTCCACATGACATTCTTCGAACCAAAATTTCCTACAAGGAAAACACAGAGGGGAAAAATAAGAGGCAATCACTGCTGTCTCAGAGGGCTCCTGGCTTTTGCTAGGGAGGTTGACATTTGTGCTGACATCAGCACAAAAGATGCACTATAGGTGAGCTATAGGGCAGCCCCTTCCCCTCTCTTCATACACACAAACATATACGTCCGCTTGAAGATGCAATCCCACTGGTGCATAGATACATGGACGCTATTTTTTCCTGCTGGAATCCATTTTAATTTAGCTCCTGATTCATATTTCATTCATTCTCCAAAACCACAAAACCAGGATAGGTTTACAGCCTGTACTATTTGGATGAGCTGTGGGGTGGGGGAAAACAGGGGGACAAAACAGGTTGCTTTCCTGAATGATTTTCTGTGTGACTCAAAAAAAAAAAAAAAAAAAAAAAAAAAAAAAAAGAAGAGGGAGGGGAGGATGCCTTCCTTCCTGGCTTTTATTTTCCTTCAGGAAAATCAAATCTGCTTTTCATCTTCAGTAGTTTGTTTTGATGGACTTCACTCTTGTTTCTTTAAGCTTTAGTGGCCTGAAAAAGATATGATTAAGATATGATTTGTATTTTCTTTTCTCACTTTTATTTTCTCCTCAAGATATTTGAAAATATTGGAGTTTTTCATGTGGGAAATGTATATATTATTTACAGAACACCAAAACAATGAAAGATTTCTATATAATCTCAATTATTTTGGAAAAAAAAAGACCAAAAGATATAGAGGAAAACATTAACAATTACATCTGATAGTTTTCTTTGGGGGGAGGAGGGCAGGAAGGGGATGCAGAGGAGCAAAAGTTCAGAGTTAATTTTAATTGAGGAATTTCCCCATATTTTGTCATTCAGCTTTTGAAACTGTGACCACAACAGACTGTTTGAACTGTGGTGCGAGAGAGACCGAAAATTTCCCCAGGCAACTTTACGCAGGTACTAGCCACAGAGTTGACGAGGAAGGCTTTTAAAGCATAACAAAATTCAGCAGGGACGCTGCACCCAGCAGAGGAAACTCCGGCCATCTGGAGACGAGGATGACCAGCGGCCACAGCAGTTTGCAAAATTGCAAGAGCTGCCAAAATTAAACCGTGAAGTCAGGCGGGAAGGCAACCAATGACGGGCGAGATCAGAAGTTCAGAGATGCCCCAGATGAGCTCCCAACAACAAGTGTGGCTGGCGTACACCAAAGTTTATTAAGGATGTTGAGAGGAGGGGAAAATATCCATGCAGAAGATGCCCAGCTGGCGAGGAGGGACTGGTGGTGATGCTCAGGTCACTTGATGAATCCCATTGGCCAAGTCCCTGGGAGATCCCACCCATTCGCAAGTGTAAAATAAATCTCTAAAGTTGTACCTCGTGTACCACTTGACATTATTGCTTTTAGCCTGCTGGCTTTATATCTATTTATTTATTTTATTTTGGTTTGTACCCAAAGAGGGGCTCGAAGGAAATGAATTTTGAACCGGCACCTTTCACCACCTTGCAGTACTACCCTGATCCCTGCATCCAGCGGTGAGTCTCTGAGCGTGACGTAACTCTCTCCTATCGCAGGTTTGATCTGAGTGTCTTGTGTAATTGTTAACTTTTCTGCTATCGTCCGGTGGCAGCTGGGCTGCACGCGGAAAAAATGTGCCGCTCTCTTCATGCTCAGTGGAGCTTATTATTATGTTTGGCTTTCTAACAGGTTACTGTTTAATTATAGGCATCCGTTTAAGATATCTCCCTTTTCCTCTTTGGCATTAGAGAAAAAAAAATTGATAAATAACATGAAAACTGATAGTATCTTTTCCCTGTGTTTTTGAGCAGAAGGTTACTCTGTGCTTTGGGCAGCGCAGGAATTGCTTTAACTATCTATAGTGTGTTTATTTGTTCCTTTAAATGAAAAAGCTCCTGGAAAGAATATGAGCTTAACTATTAAGCTCTGAGATCTTGGAATTTAAAAGACAAATAAATAATTTAAAGGATTCAGAGAAGAAAAAAACTGCCTTCTAAGAGAGAGCACTTTTCCAAGAATATTTTTTTCATTCTGTTTAACAGCCAACCTCAGAGCCTGACAACCACTCTTATTTTAGCTTTGTTGTTACACTGAGTTTTATAACTTTCCAGCAGATAAAAGAGCATGTCCGCACGAGGTATCACAGTATCACATTGTCAGTTTGTTTGTTTCTCCCAATAGAAGATACTATATTTAAGCATGTAAATGACATGTAGATGGTATTTTTCCAGTCGTAAAGTTCGGAGAGGTGAAATCCTCCGAGCGCAGTCACTTGTCGAGCTACTTTAAGGCTAGTTTCTGGCTGTGTTTTGAAAAAGCCCTGGCTGTTGTCTCACAAAGGCATTCGGTCCCTGGAAGGGTTAACTATTAACCCTGCATCCTCTGCAGGGTGCTGGGGAAGGCTGCTTGTGTTGCATAGCTGCCTGTTGAAGAAAGGGCTTGGCCGCTGTCACCCAGCCCACGGCATTACAGGAAGCTTTGTGAGCTCTTCTTTTTTTTTTTTTTTTTTTTTCCCCCCACTACCATGATTTGTTGCAATGTTTGTGGGGGAGTTTTATCCCCCCTTAATCTGCTGGGTGCTCTGTGCCACCACTATGCGAAGATCCTGGGGAGGACTGTGGAGACCTGGCAGCGACAAGGGGCTGCGTTTGGGGCCAGCGGAGGGGAAGGACAGAAGGGGAGCTGGGAAATAGCGCACGGTCCTTGGCTGCACTGCCGTGGCAGAGGAATATGGAATGAAGCTGGGGGTATTGGTTTCCCCAGCGAGACCTTCCACAACACGAGTCCCAGGGCTGGTTGGGCACACGCAGCCATACTCTGATCTCCTGCAAATCCACCCAGCCCCGCTGACCCTGGCAGGGATGTACGTGTGTCCAGGAGAAGAGCAGTACAAGAGCGGTGCCCGCCCGGGAAGGTGGATTTGGGCTGACAGCGGTAGGGTCTTTAGCAGACAAATAAGTTTCAGTGGCGGGAAGCCACAGCCAGGCAAATTCCCAAATAGAAAATTAAAAACAAATAATCAAACTGGAAAGCGTAAAGATGCACTGGGAAGCGTACCTAAGCTCTGGGACAGCTCTCCAGCCCCTGTGAACTCTTGCCAGTCACACCCCATCCCATGTCAAAGGACAGGTTCATAAAACTGGTGCTGTGGCTCAGGCAAAAAAACCCAGCTGGAGCAGGAATTAAAGAAAAAAAATTCCCTTGGCTGTATTCTTTAGAGCTTTTAAAATGGGCCTTTCTGCCCTTCAAATCTGCATCCTCCAGCAAGTCAGGCCTTTCACTGGAAATGCTGTTCCTTGCCACGTGCCTTAGCAGTGTGCTAAGTTTTTAAGTGACCATTGCAGTGTGGGAAGCCTCAGGACAGCTTGGGGCAGATAGAGTTTGTGACACCCCTCAGTCAAAACCTGGTCGAGATGTAGCTTAGAGTAATAATGTGTCTCAGCTGCTGTGCACGTCTGTTTACATGAGCTGAGAGTGGCATTTGTCCAGTTACTAGTGGCTGTGCTCTGCTACAGCTCAAAATCAGCTAAAAGCTGGTCCCAGAGATACTTTTCTCAGTCTGAAGACATAGGTGGTCTTCAACTTTAAGCTCCATTGATTGGATATTCATGATGTGCTGGGTGACATTTGTGTGACTGATTTAACAAAATTGAATAGTTTCATAATTACATTTAATTTACACAGTTTGAAACACATTTGCTTTGATGTGGTCAAAGTGTTTTCTTTAGCTTAAACCAGTGTTCTTCTCTGTAACTTTAAAATTACATCTAGTAACAATCTAAACAACAAAGTGATAACATTGAGCTGAGGCATGCTGGCAAAATAACAATAGTGAAAAGTGTTTGAAGCCCTGTTAAAATGGAGTGGGGGTGAGTGGGGGTGTGTGTGACACAGATTTCCCTGTAGGTCAGCGTGGAGGGGGAAGCAATTATAAATCGCAGTTAGCTCTAAGATTAGTGGCTTAGATTTACCCTCTGCCGTTGCTTTGTCTATTAATCTCTTCACTTTGGGGGTGTCCAGCAGGCAGACAACGCGGAAGCCAGCTAAAACATTTCCTCTGTCAAGAGGTGAACACAGATCACACTTGGGAGCATTAACTAATATGCCATTATAATGCTTGTATACTACTGCCTGTCATTTCACGGCAGTGAAACTATGTGCTGCTGCTATGGTATATTCAAACCAATGCACTAATTCAGTGCCACAGGTGAGGAAAAATAGCTGGGTGCCCAGACTCCCAGTGCTGTCTGTTATTGTTTAGGTCACTCCAGCCTCTGTCTCAACAGGTCAGCTCTCTTGTTTTTTAGGCTACTTATTTCTTGTGGATATCAAAGCAAAGCACCCCCTGCATCACACAGAAGTACAGACAACTCAGCTGGGGCACAACACAGCAGTGTCCTACTTCACAGCCCCACTTTTTGCTGTGGACACTGGAGTTCAGTGCTGGAGCTGCAGCCCAGCTGAGAGAGGGGCAGAGGGGCACTGACAGGGACATACATCCCTGTGCAGAAGTCAGGGATGCAAATGTAGCATGTGAATGTCTGAAGCGAGGTTGGAAAGGTATATCCTGCCTGTGCTCATCTTTCTTCTTCTTAAACAGAAAGAGCTAAGAGATGTTAAAATTCAGCAATAACAGAGTTGAGCAAAACCCTCAAAGTTTTTCTACTTCTGCTTTCTTTATGAGAGGGTTTTGCATGAAACACTTGAAATCAGTGATAAAGCAGGCTCAGTGCTCTGGCTCCTGGGCAAGGGAAGGTGCTGCTCTAAGGACAGAAGCACCTGCATTGAAGTGCCAAGTTGCTAACCCACGTGAATTACTTGTTCAGATGTTACTGTGGCAGCTCATCCTGTGCTGCAGAAAAACGAGGCTAGCTCTGAGTCATAAAATGAGCTATCTGAAATGAGCGGGATTTCCACCTTCCAAGAAGTGCCCACCTAGCTGCTGTTGAAAGTCGCTAATGTAAGATGAAGAAGGCACTGTAATTATGATCAAAGTCCAGCTGTTGAGAGCTATGTAATTAGTCTCCCTCTCCAAAGCTGCTTCTTCTTCAGCTAATGCCTGGTTGGGGGAGTGATGTTTACAGATATGTTACTTGTGTTCTTGGAAATAATGGTCATTAGGCTGTGTTTTACCCAGGAGCTCTCCTCTTTGGGGGCTGTTTGGAATGCACCTGCTGGTGCACAGGACTACAGTCCTGTGTGCTCTGCTTGCCCCTCTCCCCATGCCCAGGCTAATTGATGGCCTCAGGATTTTGCATCGATGATATGCTGAAGGCATTCACTGGGGCTTACTCCTCCCTTTTGAATGAAAGGCCTCTCGCACAAGCTGCTCTTTGCTCTTTCATTTCTGGCTTTGTATTCTCAGCCCAAAGTGATACGGCCCCACCTCCCAAATCTCACTAATAACAGAGGCTTGAGGAACAACCCTGAAATCCTCTGGTCTCTGCAGCGCCATGCCAGAAACCTGGTTTCTCAGACACGGTCCTGGGTTTTGGGGGGGGGGGTGCCAAAAGAAAAAAAAACCAAACAAATATCCTGCAACCAGGTATGTAGAAAAAAATCTATTTTTAGAAGGGGATGAGGGAAACTGTCTCAAATGAGTTGAGGCATGGAAGGGAGGGGAGGGCATGGGCCATGGCAGCATCATCTACTGAGTGCTGTATCTGGATGGATTTTGGTGAGCAGGGTCTAAGTTCCAGCCAGCCAGAGCTCCTGGGTTCAAAGAGATCGTTCATCAGGAGCATTGCACATGTTGCTTTACTTTTCTTCATTGGTTCCACATGTATCAAACAGCTGGTGAACAGACTGCAGTTATCAGATAGGAGTCTCACCAATGTTAATGCTTGCAGTGCAGCACAAAGGTGAAAAACTCACTGTACCCAATGCTCATCATTACGAATAGGCGGTAATGAAACAGCAGGTTTCTTCCCTTTGGGTTGGAAGGGGGCACATTCGGGCAAAATGTGCTGGCTACCCTCCTGATCACAGGCAGCAGCGTGCTGTGCCCCTTCATGGTCGTGGATCAATGCTGGTGTAAGCAGCTTTCCTTTCACTCCGGTGTTAGCTGGGTGATATTGTGACAGAGCTTTGCCTGAGCTGTCGTAGGGTAATGTCTTGCAGGAGTGTTTCATCCTATGTGCAGGCTTTGCAGAATCCTTGCGTTTGGACAACTGCACGCTCTTTCTCTTTCCTTGTACTATGTTTGCTGAGGAATAACTGAACTCCTGCTATGACAGGGGGCACAAATCTCATCTGCCTTCACCTTTGAGATGGGAGCCCAAATTTGTCGTGTTGGCAGAAAGACCTGAAGCCAAGTAAGGAAAGCCACGTGACTTGGTATAGATCTATTTGCAGAAACAGCCAGTGATACAGCAGGTACTTTCCAAAGACTCAGAGAGGGGCCAGAAATTGTTCTGAGCAGCTCCTGGTGTGCTCGGAGCCAGCCGGTGACTTCTGGAGGAGCAGAATTGGCTCCACGCTGGAAGGAAAGGTGGAGGGGAGCCAGCGAGGTGCTTTT